ACTTTCGGTCGGCTGGAAGGGAAAGCCGTCGAACTAGCGAAGTCGGGCAGCCACGCGGGAGCAGAAGAAGCGATATCGGCAATCTCTACACCTCCTATGAAGCACCGAAGCTGATCAAAACGAAGAAGCATGCAGGAGGAAGAGAGACCAGGAAAGGAGTGAGAGCTAGAACGAGGAAGAGAGAGAGTGGGATCGTGCCAAGAGGCCGAAGGCCTCGTCCCTTCGCCCTTTTCACGACGAGCGAGGCAGGGTGAGGGATCGTGTGATGTGGGCGAAGACGTGCGTCGTACGAGTCGTGCCAAGATCGTGGCTTCGGCAGAGCAGGTGAGATTTGATTTGATTTTTTTTTCAATGTTACAGGTCAACAAATGCCCCCCAACAAATGTGGTATGCGCCCAAAGTGAATCACGTTTGTTGCATGTTAATTGACCATGTGGATCTCTAGATATTTGTTCTAGATGTCACACAAGAGTTTCATTTAGTGGATATCCAAAAATTTGTTTGGATGTCACACTAAGATCTTTGTTTCTTCGCTGCTCTCTTAGATGTATCCATAGATGGTTAATGTACTGGTTTTAGTCCAGGACCTCTATGATAGTAATATAGCACTTCGTACTTGGGTTCCTAGAGTATCACTTTGTAGATTGACGCTAGTGGATAGCATATACTCAAGATTCTTTCATCATCTGGTTTTATTTTGATGGAATTTTAAATATTTATTTGGAGATCTCGGCATGCCACGCGATGTCGACCCAAATAAATATTTAAAATGCCCCCAGTCTTTAGAGACATTTGTAGATGTCATACAGGGAACTCATTCTGTAGCTTTGGCTTGATTCCTGAGATTTAATTTCTTATGCCCTGTGCTTTGTGCTGCGAACATTGATGGAGGATTACCTGATTTATCAATAATGATTTGTCAAGAGATTTGTGTTCCTTCAGTCCTATGCTTCTTGCTTTGGCGAGCTTGACGAAGGAGTAGATGCTGGTGACCTAAACCCTTTAGGTTTGTATTAGGTCGGTAGCGAGAAGTCATCGGTCCAAAACTTTGTGCATGACGGACTTGTTGATGACGAATCCTCTTAGTTCAGCCTAAGACTTTTCATGAACTTTAAGATAACTTTCTTCGGTCCTTTGCTTTGCGCCTTCACGGACTTATTGAAGGAGAATTTCTACGATCCTTGCTTTGTGCTTTACGGATTTGTTGAAAGATCTGCAGATTCTAGATTCAGTTGATAGTACCGAACATAGGTAGTATCTTGATCCTTAACCACTTGAAGAGACTTTAATCTGAGTCACTTGAGTTTATCATAACAGGAGAGCTAGGATTTGACAGCTCTTCATCCTCTGGTTACTGAAATAAGGGTTCCTCTACTACGGCCTTTCTTATAGCTTGTTGAGTAGATGGAGCTGCCAGCGATCCGGCCATATTTGGGTGTGTTGGATCCGACCTCTTACACCCATTCAGACTTTAAACTTGAGCTATAGGAATTGTGCTTCCCAACACTGATTTTACTGAAGTTGGCAGATTTGGAGTTCTCCTTGGTGGTTGAAGATTTCAAAGCCTACAAACATTCGGTGGCTGCTCGAGACTCATCTTCCCATTGGACCCTTGATTCTCCAGTCATTTAGGAGAATTTTATAACCTACAATCACTTGAACTGGTCGAGTCAAATTAGTCTTCGCTCTTCCTACAGTCCTTACTGGCGGGTTGGAGAAGTGGGATTTCCGCTACTACGGCCTTTCTTATGGCTTGTTGAGTAGACAGAGCTGCCAGCAATCCGGCCATATTTGGGCTTGTTGGATCCGACCTATTACATCCATTCGAACCTTAAGCTTCAGGCTGTTGAAAGACTTCAAACTTTTCTGGCTACAAAAGTCTCTTTCTTGACTTTTGAGTCTTAGTTTGTTAGAGAATGTGATGTCTCAATCTTTTGAAAAATCACATGCATATACTTTGAAAAAAAAATCTTTGTATTCTTTAGCACAAAGGACCATTTGAATTAATAATTTTAAATATTTATTCGGGTATCTCGGCTCGCTGCGCGATGTCTACCCGAATAAATATTTAAAATGCCCCCTGTAATAGAGTGAATATGAAATTTTGAGAATTTAAATATTTATTTGGGGATCTCGTCACGCAGCACGATGTCGACCCGAATAAATATTTAAAATGCCCCTTGTCAGATAGGGGATTTTGAAATACATTCTCATAAAACAAGAGAATTTTAAAATGTGAAACGTATACGCTAATAAACATGTACGAAAATATAGTGTATTAAACATAAAATTTTCTGAGCAATTTAGTGCGTAGTATTTCTTCATGTATCGACCATTGATCGGCAACATGGGCCTTTGACCATTCAGATCGATGAGTTGATAATAGGGGTGTCAATTTTTGACACGACCCAAAACACGACCCGAACCCGACCTAGAAAAATCCGGGTTCGGGTTCAACAAATCAACCCATTTTAAAAATCGAGTCGGGTTCGAGTTGACCTAGCAACCCGAAATTGACCCGAAAGTGACACGGAAAACTCATATTTGACCCGAAAATCCGAGATTGACTCGTTTTTGACACATTTTGACCCGAAAATCGAAGATTGACCCGAAAACTAGCAATTATGGGTCAACCCCGGGTCATTCGTGTCGGGTCGGGTTGACCCGGACCCGAATCGGGTCTGATTCGGGTCCAGAAACCTGACCTATATTTAAAAACGGATCAGGTTCGGGTTGACCCGAATAATGCCGGGTCAGTTCCGGGTTTGACCCGAATTGACACCCCTAGTTGATAAGCTCCTCCCTGGTACACCTTTTCAATGACGAAAGGTCATTTCCAGTTGGATACGAACTTGCCACCGATTTTTTTATGGGGAATGATTGGCCTTCTCTGCACCAGGACCAATTCTCCTTGAAATGATCGAAGACGCACCATTCGATCAAAGGACTTTGTCATTCTCGCTCGGTAGATCTCCAGGTTCTGTTGAGCTTGCAACCTGACTTCATCGAGTGCATCGAGCTCCTCCATTCTTAACCGAGCATTTTGTTCATTGGTTAGCTCATTCTGAATGGTGACCCGAAGGGATGGCAGTTCAACTTCTAGTGGCAACACTGCTTCAACCCCAAACACTAGAGAGTTAGGAGTGGCTTTGGTCAATGTTTTGTAAGTTGTACGATACGCCCACAGCGTCTCTACCATCTTTGTATGCCACTCTCTTTTATTTTTAGTGAGAATCTTCTTTAGCAATTTTACCAGTATTTTATTGAAAGTTTCTGCCAAGCCATTTGCTCTTGGGTAGTATATGAAGTAGTACCGCCAATCGATTTTATGTCGATCAACGAACTTATAAATATTTGTACTTTTGAATGCAGTACCGTTGTCTGAGATTATGCGACGCAGCACACCAAATCTATAGACAACATTATGTGTGAAGAAGTTGATTACAAGCTCAGACGTAACTTCTTTGAATGGAGCTGTCTCTACCCACTTGGGGAAATAATTGATTGCTGCTAAGATGAAGCGGTGTCCTGCTGATAACGGCGGATCTATAGGCCCAATAACATCAGTACCCCAACATTCAAATGGTCAGGATGATATTGTAGGGTGCAGTGGATTTGGCGGTTGATGTATAACATCACCGTGAATCTGACACTCGTGGCACCTATTAGCGTGATTGATGCAATCATTAACCATTCTTGGCCAATATTAGCCATTCTTTTAATTTTGACCGCCATCTTGGGACCTGATTGGTGTGCTCCACAAAGTCCTTCATGAACTTCTGCAACCACTTTATCAGCTTCTCAAGTCCCTAGGCATCTTAGCCACATTTGATCGAAAGCACGCCAATACAACGTGTTGTTGACAAATGCATACCGTACCGCTCTCTTTCTGATTTGAGCAGCTAATGATTTGTCAATTGGTAATCTACTTTCTCTGAAGTAGTCAATAAAAGGCTGCCTCTAGTCATCTTCTTCTTCGACATCTAGGCAATGCCACCGTAACTTTGAAGCTTGACTAGCCTTGTGTCTTTTATTAGGAACTTGATGTTCTTCAAGTTAATATTCAAGATCAACCGGTCGGGGAGATTGAGGATCAACCGGAGTAGCATCCTGCTGTCTTGAACTTGGTATTCTCTCTGCCTGCGGGAATTGTAACGATGCCGGCTCTAGGATTCGACGATTTTGCACCGTAATTATTATAGGTCATTCGTCATCCATATTCGTCATTTCTTTAGCTAATTTTGCCAGGGAAACAGCTTTGCCATTTTGACCTCTGGGAACTTGAGTTAGTTTGACAACTGGAATTTGCTTCATAAGTTCAAGAACTCGCCGATGATCCGATGATAACAGGCCAAATCGAACTTGGTGATTTTGTAAACTCCCAGTACTTGATTTATAACAAGTTGAGAATCATCAAAGATTTGGAGATTTCTGATTCTAATGTCGATTGCAATCTCCGGTCCTGTTATTAAAACTTCATATTCGGCTTCATTATTGATCCGAGGTTCGATCAAGCTGAATGAGAATCTCTTATATATTTGAATTCAAAATGCTACTGGCAAGACACTGCTAAAAATCAACAAGTTTATGGAGGAGATCCAATTTACTTCCAAACCTTATCAATTGTGCTCTATTTCTTCCTTAATCCTTATTGTTTATCCTTGCTGCTTTATTTTGTATTCTTATGATTCTTTTGTATTTATTTTTTCCTTTGTAATCATTTTGTAACCTTGCTCTTTTTTAATGACAAGGCTTCGCCCAACATTTCATTTAAACAAAAAAGTTCGAGGACTACCTGCTGAGTTCCTGGTTTTAAAAATCTCGCTTATTACAGTAAGAGAATGTAGAACAAAAGCTTCGATCGTAACATGCTTATCATCTCTGTCTAAGAAATGATCTCAAATAATTAAAGCTGCAGATCATCCATAGCCCGATCGCACAAAATCAAAGTTCAAAAAAGGTCTATCTCAAAATTCAACTTTACCACAGGAAAACCTTACCTTTTGTTTTCTTTCTTCCAAGTGAAACAATATCATCCGGCGATAAGGTGTCAAACCTGAAAGGGACTGCACAAATTAACATGTCTTAATCACAACTTAATTTTATCAAAATTACCACCAAAAACTACATAACAGCAAAAAAAATGAATGCATCAATGTACGTTAAAGCTTAAAAAATGTTAATATAAACATAATGACAAAAAATGTACTTGCAATGTTCATATGGATACAATATCCAACTGCACGTGCACGCTTGTAAGTCTTAAAATTCAATTTTGATTAATATTCCTAAACTCAAAAAACGTACTTGCATTGTTCATTTGTATAAGATATCCAACTGCATCTGCAAGCTTGTAAGCCTTAGAACCCAATTTTGTGATATGAAAAAAAAAATTTTTTTTGGCAACAGACAGAAATTAGAAGGTGATTGCAGACTTGAGAAATGAACAAAGGTGCTCTTCACAAGGAAAATAAATGAAAAAAACAAAAAGGTGAAGTTGGCTATTCAATTCTGAACCTATGTAAACTGAAAATATAAGTTATCAAATATAAATTAATGAATTTATTTGGAATTATATTGAATAAACGTCAGCATTAAATTCCCTTATGCACCCGGTTTATTAAATTCTGATCGCCCTTACTTTACAGCATAATGGTTAAATCAACAGGGACAATTTGTTAGAGATACTATCTTTATCATAAATACACTTTCGTCAACACCATTTACCACAAAGTAATTTCTTTAATGATACAACTACTGTCCTCTAAAATGGATGGTGCAGTTCATTCTTCCCAAAAATGAAGATGAAATTGTTTACAAATTTTTTTCGGTGAAGGAAACAGAATATAAATTGAAATTATGAAGCAATGATCAAGTGGATGTCCTCCGCAGGAAATTACACGGTTCTTTCTATGTATCCCAATGAAGATGCCAACTCATGAATTTTCCTCAATAAGAACTTGATCGATATATAGGGTATCTTCTTACTTCGGATGAACTTCTATGCATGTCCATTCAATGATGATAAGCACAAAAATGATTAAACTACAAACAAAACTACCGTACACCCAAAATCCTTCACCAACCTATAGTAATAGAATGCTTAGAAATTGAAGCCGGCAATGTTTCTTGAACATTATTTAAGCTTTCTGTGCTTCTAGTCTCAGAGGACAAGTCATCTTTTCTTAAGAAGGCATCGGAGAGACTGGATATTACAGTACCCTGATGCGGCATTCCTGCAAATAGCGCTTTTGCCATTACAGATGTTGAATGTTCACAGATGCCGAGTGCTGCATAAAACACTTGACAAAGTTATAACCTCATTATGAAGCCACCAAATAATTGAGGTGTCCAATACAAATGCAACAAGGTATAATACGGTTCAATCATTAAAATTCTAACAGATATCAAGTGCTTGAATCGTATTGCTAAATTTCCTATTAAGCAAGTATAATACCTTGATTTTCACCTTTATTTATCCACCCATCAAATGAGTCCTTAAATACACCGCAAATGTAGCAAGAGGATAAGCTGCCATCATTTTCATATGTACATACCAAGCATCTCCAAAAGCCATGCTTGCTTGCACTTTTCTTTTGCTCGGACAAAATTCCTGTTACAAAAAGAGTAAAGCATATCACAACTGAAAGGAAACATTCTTAACTTTCATAATCTTAGAAATACAGTTAATACGTTAAAGAAATTAGAGCAAAAACCTCCGTAGCGATGTTCAAAAAAGACCTCACTCAAGTTACCCAAAGAAGAGAAGTACTTAAAACAACTCGATACAAATAAAAGAATGACTGGAATAAGAAGTTGAAGTAATATGCTAATGTAAAGTTATTACACATAATTTTCTAATCAAGCGCTAAGTGCAATTGGTCATCTGTTTTAACCTATTATTAGAGTACATTATAAATTCAGTTCGACCAACCCAATTATTCTATGGAATAAATACTTTGGTTCTATGCTGCTGCGGGATTTGGAGTGAAAGGTAGGGCGGGCATGTTCTCTTCTTCAAAAATACAGCTGCAAGAGTCTGTGTTGGTTTAAAAAAAAAAAAAGTAGATAACTATAAGTATAACCATGATTTGCATCCAACCATATGATGAGAGGTCCTTCTATTTAAACGAAGCAAACATAAGCAAAAACAATTAGTAGCAAATCAAGTGGTTTTACAAGCAATTGATGAACCAACCTCTCATCGATTGATCACCATCAAAATAATTGTGGACCTTATCTGTTACACCGCCCATCATAAAAGTGCTAACAGAACTCTAAGGCATATTCCTGAAAAACAACTTAAGCGCAAGAAAATGGCAGAGTCAACAAGGAAGGTACAATATTTGCTCTTAAGGAATTCGCAAATTAAATGCCAAAAAGCAGACATTACAAAAGAACAAAATACAGAAACTATATTAGAACCCCTTGTCAAGGGGAGAACAAACCCAAAAATGTAATAATAGAAATAAAAATATATAAATAATGAAATCCACACAGTAAAGAAAGCATCCCATGTCATTCAAGATAGTGGAGTTGAAGCAAAGTTTACAGAAATGAAGAATAAAAAGAAAAAAAGGAACCGTTTAGCAAGAAATAAGCAAACAACAGAGAAATCATCTAACTAACACTAGCACCTAGTACATGCCCCACCCTAAATGCAAGTAAGAAGGGACACCCAACTGACAAGCAACCAAAACAAGAATGAGAAATTCATGGAAGAATAAATTGACGTCACCTATAGTGTGGCATCGTTCTCATCATTAGACCTATCACAACCATTTAGGGTTGTCATTATGAATCCTCATTTTTTATTCATTTGTATTGATTGATGTTTGAGGTGTAAAATATTTTTGGGGAAATCTTTTTCCATAACTTCATTTTATGTTACCTTAGGTCGATCTCTTTTTACATCTAGACAATCCACTTAACTATCACTAACTTCTTGTAGCCCTACAGTCAAAATCATACAACATTAAGTCCAATCACATCTTTATAAAATCTTCATTTGTCTCCATGGTACTATTATAGCATAAGCTCAAAAAGTACTGCTCAATTTTAATCACCTATCATTGACTTTAGAAGTTATATCCTAATCAACATCCATATTTTTTTTGTAAAATAGAACAAAGATAATTAAAACCACTTAATTTAAAATTAAAAAGAAATATAACAGGCACATAGATCTCCCACCAAGGTAAAGTTTGGGAAGGGGTTGAAATACAAAATCTTACTCATATATTTGCAAATAGGTTATTTACATGGCTCGAACCTGGGACCTCCAACTTACACTATAAAGTAGAAACAACTTAATTAATACTATTGTCACACCCCGCCAGTGGGCCTAGAAGATAATCAAAAGAACAACTGAAAGGGTGCGAGCAAAACAAATTTATAAAATAATTTCAAATAAGTGGAAATACATTACTTCAATAATTTATGTCTACCAATAAATCATCAGAGCATCTAAATCCAAACACATAATAAATATTCGTCAATATAATTGAAATTCAATTATACAATTAAATCAATTAAATAACTTTAATCTTAAATATCTATCAAGGAGGAGCCTAATGGAAGAACCTAGAAGTTGCCCTAGAAGCTGCACAACTAGCAACCTGAAATCATGAAGTAATAAGTGTGAGTTTACAAGAAACAAACTCAGTAGGTGAAATCTCACCAAGTAAAACATAAATGCCAAGGCATAGGCATAAATATGAGCAAAAAGAGGGATATAAGTGAAAAATAGACATGGGACTACAATAGCTTCAAACAATGCATAAGATATGAGACTTTTGAATCTATAATTCAATTCGCTAAAGCTTCTTACACAACAAAAATCATAAAGAATTATTTGTGTCAACCAATAATCATTGCATTTATCTCACACGCACGCACGCACGCACGCGCACGCACACACGCACACACACCCACGCACACGCACCCATGCACACGCACAGGCACCCACACACACACACGTCTACCATGCCCTGTCGGGAAAGTTACACACCAATTCCAAGGAAATCCAACGATTTCCTATAGAGTCGTTACTCTGATGACTCGTCGGTCCAACTAGCCAATATTCAAAGGGTTAAATTCCAACATTGCATGCATCATACATACAAGCATATCTAATATATATATCATATTGCAGTAATAACTTTTTAAAGAGGTTATAACTTAATTAAGCTCAGTAATATATATAATACATAATTCATAATTTGTATGAGCAATAATCATTCTCAGCAATTAAGAGAATGCAAGCTAATTAACTTCTAAGAGTTTATGCAACAAAATAACATGAAGCTAAGCATCAAAATCATGTCAAGATGAACACTTGGGGTTAATGCGAATAAATAAGCATATTCTATCATATTTTATCAGCAATTAAAGCATGCTCATAAGTATCAAGGAGTACACCTTTAACAAGGAGGTGTACGTTTATCTTTTACTCAGTCAAAATTCACTTATGTCATAGACCACAAGTAGCCCAGCTTTTCAGTCATGTACTGCTCTTCTCAATCCATGTTGTGATCCTAAAAATAAATCTTTAATTCAAATGAATTTAAATTAATCATAAATTCAAGGCATTACAACTTAAAGCATTAAATAACTGCAACCCAAGGGTCCACCACAGCTACTTGGGTCACAAATCTCCTCCGGCAAATGCTACCAAACCGGCCAACCAACACCTCCAATAACTTGAGAAGAAAGATACAAGTGGAGTGGAAACTTATGAAGAGAAGTAGGTAAGAAGTCCAAGACGAAATCAAAGAGAGGAGAAGAGAAATGGAACAAGCTCGCAAGCTTTCCCAAGAAGAAACCCTCAGTTTTTAGAGAACTTTGCTCATGAAACAACCACTTCCAAATGCCTCAAAAACATCACATATTTATAGGTGAAAAGAGGTAGCCAAACAGTCTCAATCACCTCAAGCCGAACCAACCAAAAAAGGGGAGCCAAAAGACCAACAGGCAACGCCTGGAACAGCAGCCAAAAGGACCACACGGGGGACAGGAAAGGGCAACCACGGGGAACAGGAACAACAACCACGGGACAGGAGCCAGGCGGAGAAACCGAAAGGCCAACAGAGAGGGGGGGAAGAACCATGACACCCAATTAAGAGCTGAAAAGGCAGCTGAATGAAATAATAATGAGCTGATTTTAGAAGAAGAACACAGCAGCTCACCAAAAGGGGAAGCTAACCCGGGACAAACAAGCCCAAACCGAAAAGCCCAAATTAGCCCAAGAGCCAAGGCACCAAAGTAGCTAGCACACACAAAGAAATACATGTCCAAAGCACTACCTACTCATGATCATTGATTGCCTTCCATCATAGGGTAGCATAAATAAAACAAAAAAATAAATATAGCATTCATATTACAATAAAACTAATAACATAATTTTGCATGCATCATTAATGAGGAAATATATTTTGGTTAGGGTTTCTACCTCATCTAAATGAAGAAGAGGAAGAAGGACAACCTATCAAGAAATTGTTGTGGTTTCCTTTTCAAACATTAATTTACTCTTTCTCTTCCTTGCAAGCTATCAAACAACAACCTCTTTCAAGCTTCTAATCTTTGAAGAAAGGAGATAATAGTGGTGTAAGAAATAAAAAATAGGAGAAGAAAGTGTCAATGGTTGATTAGCTTTATGTCTCCATCAACTTCCTCTTCATCGACCTTGCCAGCGTCGTATAAGGAAAGCCACCAAACCATGAAGCAGCCAACCATGGCCACTGCTCTCTTTTGTTGGCACGTCTCGTGCCATAGGATGCCGACGTTGATCACCACGCCTTCGATTTCCCACCCACAAAATGAATCGTTGCCTCTCCTTGCAAGCTCTCTGTTAGACCGGTCCAGGCGAAACAGGCGATTTGTTCGCCTGGGCGGAGGCCGCGCGCACCGCACGCCTTGCGGGAGCTGAATAGGAAGCTTTTTTGGGGAAATTAAGAGGGGAATTTGAATGTAGGGACTGTTTAGGGATTTCCTTTTGATTTGTATGCATTAAATAGTAGATTTTCCTAGGGTTTGAGCATTTTGAATTTGGCTGAAATTTGAGATCTCTTAGATTTAGGTTTCTTTGGGCTCTAGCGGCGTCTAGAGATTTGGGAGAGATCGATCCTCCTCTCGAATTGAGGATCAATTGTATCTTGCTCTTTTATTCATCGTCTAAGTGGAATACAAGTCTTTTCTTGAGTTTTCTCTCGTATTTTCCCGAACAAGTGCTGTTTTTCTGCTGTAAACAGCAGAAATCTGCTGTTTTCCTGCTGTGGACAGCCATTTGGCTGCTGTTGGTTCGCATATTTTGGATAGGTTGCTTGTGAATACAAGCACTTCCTATCACTCTCCCTCCCTCTCGCTCTTGCAACTCGTCTCTCAACTTCTCTCGCACTCGATTCCCGTAACTTAAAGAGCGAGTAGCCTAAGGCAACAATGTTAGGAACCAGATTGGGGAAAAGTAAAAATTGAATTGGTTTTTTCCAGTCTAAAGATAAAAACAGAGTTATTACAACTATAGTATAGGCTCACCCTCTACAAAAATAATCTAGAGATCAAGTGCATCATTCAAACCACCCACATTAAAATTAGCGATGACCAAATCATCCCATGCAACAAACATTAAGTACACGTTCATCTGAGTAGTTTAGACAAGAATGGAGTATGACTACCTCACTTATAATTAATGATAGCAATAATCAACATCTCAAGTTTACACCTTGAGTCTACATCATGTGGCAATTTGAGCTGAATCAAGAGACTATAGGGACCTTATCACCTTAGTAATCATGCATTATAATGGTCTCATCTCACACTTGTTCCTAACTTCTTCCCATATATATTTACTTTCCCATGCATATTTAGCCTATCTCAACTAGTTTTTATGATCCACACAGAGAAATCTACATCATACTATACAGTTTCAACTCTCAACATTGAGTCACGATAGAATTTCAAGTCGTGTCATTTTCAATGTACCTATAAATATAAACTATCTTTCCAAACATATTTCTTCTCCCCCAATTTCTCAAATTAAAACCATGCATACTACTGGGCATGTTGAATGTGAATGAGTTGAAGAGGGAAACTTAAAGAGCAAATGAGCATGAAAGGTTTGAGCAAAATAAGAGGATAAAACAAGAAATTAAAACTGACTGTCACTTTCTTTTTTTTTTTTTTGTGAACATAGCTCAAGAGAAGTGCTATGGAGAGTTCTTGAAAAGAAAGAAGTTAATAACGCTTATATTCAAATCACTAAAGATATGTATACAGGAGTTATTACTTGTGTTCAAACATAAGGTGGTTTGAGCAAGTATTTTCCTATTTTAGTTGGATTACATCAAGGATCAGCCTTAAGCCCATATCTTTTTTTTAGTCGTGGATGTTCTCACTAGACATTTGCAAGAGGATGTACCTTTGTGTATGCTTTTTGCTGATAATATCCTTCTTGTTGATAAGACAGTAAGACTAGAGAGAGAGATGAAGGTAAACTTGAATTATGGATGTCAACCTTAGAGTCTAAAGGTTTTCCCTTGAGTAGATCTAAAACTGAATATATGGAGTATAATTTTAGTAGCAATAGACCTAGTGAGGGGATTGTAACTTTGTGCGATCAAGTCATTAATAAGAGTACACGTTTTAAATATCTTGGATCTATTGTTCAGCGTGATGGTGAAATAGATTGGGATATTATCAATAGAATTCAAGTTTGATGGTTGAAGTGGAGGAATGCGACGGGCTTTTTGTGCGATAGAAAAGTCCCCCTCAAACTTAAGAAAAAAATCTATAAGATGGTGGTGAAACATGCAATGCTTTATGGTGCCGAATGTTGGTCATTAAAAGAGAAGCATAATACTAAGTTAAGTGTTGCAAAGATGAGGATGCTTAGGTGGATGAATGGCTTTACCCTTAGAGATAGGATACGAAATGAGCATATACGTGAAAAAGTTGGAGTAGCTCCAGTGGAAGATAAGATTAGAGAGAGTCGCCTTAGATGGTTTGGTCGCATTAATCGGAGGCCTTCCGATGACCCGATTAGGAAAGTTGAGGTATTAGATTTGACTTATGTTAAGAAAGGTAGAGATAGACCTAAAAAGGCTTGGTTATAAAATATTAGAAATAATCTTTCTTTATTAGTTTTAAATGAGAATTTGACTTTTAACATGACACAGTGACAAAAAAGGATTCATGTAGCCGATCCCACGTAGTGGGACAAAGGCTTGATGTTGTCGTTGTTGTTATTGTTGTTGTGAACACAACTCAAGAAAATTTAACAAGTTAAATTTAAAATTTGCAATGTCAAAATACAATACTGAACAATATTAAACAAAATACCTACGCTCACATAAAATTTTCTTCACTTTCACATGTTTGGTTACTAAATAAAAGAAATGCAAAAAGGAATTAAAAGGAAACTCCATAACTTATATACCTCCCTTTTCAATTAAATCAGAGGCTGGTGGAAAGGGTGGTAAACTTGATGATGAAGGGTTTTTAAGCGAAACCCCTAGAGATAGTTAATATTGTTCAGTATAAAAAATAAATAAATAAATAATAGTTACTACTTCGAAGCACTGCAAGCTCTATACCACAATTCTCCGCTAACTAACCATCCCAAATATTTGGCCAAAATATTTCACTCGAATTTTTTCTGGCTCCGCTTCCTTCAGGTTCAGACATACTGACTAAAACAAATTATCCTTTTTTTTTAATGCTCGTTTCCCTTGCATCAAATAACTTCAAATATGAAAGAGAAAAGAAATATATTTTTCATTAATACCGGTTTAGGGTACGAAGAAAGCACAACAATGGAGAAATGCATCCTTCCTAATTACAGGTCCACAACAACTTATCAAGTTTATTTTTGCATCGGATTCTAAACAAATTGCGACAATTGGCTAATTTGAAAAATAAAGAATAAGTAGGGAGAAGAAATGCAGAATAGTAAACTCGCGCGATGGCTAATGATTAAAAGAAAAAAAAAAATTAAACCCATATCAGATCGACGAATCTTAGGGATTTAGAGCTTCCGGTTTCAAGAGAAGTGGGAAAGGGTTTGAAGGTTGCTAGAAACTTGAATTGAGAACATGGAGACGGGGAACATTAAATACCTGTTTTGAACGCAGCAGTCTCCGGGAGTAGATTGTGAAGGAGAAGTCTGGAGAACGATAAAGCAATAAAGCATACGTTTCGGATTTTTTTTTTTTTTTGGTAACTGGGTGTCAAAATGTTTTTTCGAGTCGAATTTTGATCCAATTAAAATTTGGTCCGACTTCAGTTGAGTTGACTCAAATCCATCCCAATTAGCAAAAGGGTCAGAAATTTAAATACGGACAGACCCACCCTAACATGGGTTGACTTAACCCAACCCGCTAACCAGCAATTCAGCGCGAGTGTGTGCGGGTGTAGGCGCGAGAGTGTGCGGGTGAAAGGGGATGAGAGTTGGGCCAACTGGTAAGACTACATGCAAGGGAATGAGTGTGTGCGGTTGAGACGAAGAGTGCGTGCGGGCAAGCCTATTTTCGAGGCGGCAAGCACGTGACAGTGATCACGGCCAAGTAGGGCTGCAAGCGAACCAAACGTTCGACGAACTACTTGTTGTTCGGTTCGATTAAAGCTCGTTCGTGATCGTTTAATTAACTAACAAACAAACTTGAACAATATTTTAAATACTCGATTCTTAAATAAACAAGCTTGAACACTAATGTGTTCAGCTCGTTTATGTTCGCGAACAACATCAGTTGATGTTCATGAACAAGCTCGATAAAAAGCTCAATTCGAGTTCGATTAAATATAAAAAACTTTAATTATA